GAATTTACTAATAATAATTTATTGTTTAATTTATTTCATTTCAATTAACTAATTACATTTAAATGAATACAGGAATAATAAATAAATTAAATACAATAATAAATAAAAATATACATAATTTTTTCACTAATATTACAAATATCTAACTTCATCAATACCCAAACTCCTTCTGACCTGTATTATGGCTACTAATTCTTTTATTGCCTCTTCCAAAATAACTACATTGTTAAGAAGCGTACTTAATGTAATTTCATTTGGCTTGGTTTCTTTTGTTTTAGTTCTTGTTTGTTTTTTAGATGACAATAATTCATCATCTTCTTCGTCTTCACCAAGATCAACCGGGTCGTCTTCCTCGTCTTCATTAACAAAATGAGCAGGGAAAAGTGGTTGAATTTTAATATTTTCAGTCTCATGAAAATGCGTTGAAAGCGGTGTGATTAGATTAGATGAAAATTGTGAGGATTTAAATGATGATAATGGTGAATTAATAGGAGAGGATGATAGCGAATCTTTACGTGAAAGTGAACTGGCCCTTTTTGGAACCTTTTTTGGTGTTGAAGTTGACAAAGAGTTACTCCTACTAAGATCTTTACTAGAAGGTTTTCTAGGCAAATTTCCTGTGGATGAAGAATGGGCACTATTACTGTTTCTCCTACTACGGGATGTGAAGTTTGTTTTTTGTTGATTAAAGAAATTTTCTTCAATTTCATCTTCTGTGTCTAGTAAACTTCTTCTCCTCTCATCAAGATATTGATCAAAATTTTCTATTTCGCTACGATAATAATCAACTTGTTGTGTTAAGGTTTTAAAAATTGTAAAGAATGGTGGAAAGTTAACCCACATTGTTACTGACCCAATAGCATTATTTGCTGATGCACTTTTCTCAACATCATGATCTATTGAACGATCATCTGATTCATCAAATTCATCATTTGGGCTATTCTCAGATCCAAGATATTCATTATTACTTGCAATAATACCAAGCGAAAGTTCAAGATTTCTGGCCTCGTGTTGAAGACTTTCAAAATCTTTGGTCGAAGAATCATTCCGATTATCTAATCTATCAGCGCCACTAAATACCAACCAACCTTCTAATGATCTATATGGGCATATGGCAAGCGCTGAAATTACACCAGTCAAAGTAAGGTTTAATTCGGGCGAATGGGCAAAAAAATTAGAAAGAGTACCAATAAGGATTTGTAAAAGTGAATCACCAGGTTTTAAACGATCTGTAGGATTCAGTCTATGTTTTAGCACATGAAGGGTTTCCGTATGATTATGTTTTTTTGAGCTTTTTACTTGGCTACAAGAAGATAGATAACCTTTCCTGTTATTGGTTTTAGGAT